CGGCAATTTCACAACAAAGGCCAAAAATATCCCAAAAAGAGCCAAAAGTTGGATAACCGGGTCGAAATGACCAAACAGCAATATCACAACAAAGGCCAAAAACGGCAATATCACAATAACGCCAAAAGTTGGATAACCAGGTCAAAATGCAGCACGCACAGGCTCCACAGCACTGTCGTGCCTGGCTCTCGGTCGGGCTCGTCCATCCTTGATCTGGGAGGGCGACCGTCGCTTTTATGCAGCACGCACGGGCTCCACAGCACTGTCGTGCCTGGCTCTCGGTAGGGCTCGTCCATCCTTGATCTAGGATGGAGACCACCGCTTTTATGCAGCACGCACGGGCTCCACAGCATCGTCGTGCCTGGCTCTCGGTCGGGCTCGTCCATCCTTGATCTGGGATGGTGACCGCCGCTTTTATGCAGCACGCGCGGCTGGCTCTTCAGCGTCGTCATGCCTAGAGCGGGATTGCACCTCACTTATCAATTATGCATGCCTTGCGTCCAAGACTGTTCAAAGACTCTGATTCAGGGAAGACAGGGAAGGACGTGAGCAAGAGTATACTTTCTCGAGCAGATTCACAGGCTCACTACTCAAGAAACTGGGGGACTTGTGTTGGGATATATTATCTCGGCCTACTACTGTTCAGAGGCCCAAGACACCGCCCTGGTACGGGGCCCAGTCGACGTGGTCCGTTTCGGCCTAATAGGCCCATTCCAGCCCAACACGGCCCATTTAGGCCTATTGGCTCAAATGAGGAAAACCCTCACACCCCTCCCCCCATCTATAAATAGGAAGCAAAGCTTCCTGCTATAGGATCTGGTTTTTTGGCTCTTCTCTCCTGGGAGATTTCTTCTCATTCCTCCATGCTTTATCTTCCTCTTTAGAAAATAGCCAGGAAACTCCATTAATGGAGATAAGAAACTCCATTAATGGAGATAAGATATTTTTACAATGTAATTTGTGAGGAGAGCAGATTAATGAGAAAGAGCGGGCTTGGACGTTAGCCTAAAAAGTCTCGTGGTTTTCTCCCTTTCCGGGTTTTCACGTAAAAATTGCTAGTTCATACACTTTATATTTATTATTTACGTTTATACTGAATTCATCGTCCCTAATATCCAAAGTTTATGTTGGGCTTTCGGATCTACGGGACAAAACCTCAACAATAATAATTTAATTAATGTTTTACTAAATTGTATGTAAAAAAATATGTATAGTTTATTTTTATTACCGTGTTGGAATGCAGAGAAATAAGAGTCTAAACACTGTTTTCATATGGACGAAGTCCATTTGTAATATTTTCACCTCTCCACCACTACAAATGGTCTAAGAGCTCATAAGAGAGTGCTTACAATGATGAATATGATTTCTCACGCCATGTGCAGATAGATTAGGTTTTTTATTGAAGGGTATGGTTCTTGATTGGAGGTGGAAATGTGGAATACATAACGGTAGGGTAAATTAATAATCTAAAACTAAATGGTAAAACTCCCAAAATATGAATAGAACATTGTAAAAATACAACGGTTTTAGAGAGCTTCTCTCTCTAGGTGGCCATCTCCCCTAAGTTTAGTCATTTAGGGGTCGTTTTTCTCCGCTTCTGTCTTCGACGTAGTGCGGCTTTCTTGTTCGGCTTTTGTCCGCAATTCGTGAGGCTCTCTTTTTTGGCAGACCGCAATGTCTATATGACAGCCAAAGGTTGTGTACCCCTAGCAGCAGCCAGCAGGTGGAGAATGTTGAGGATGTCATGCATAGTTAAGATCACAATGCCATGGACAAATCGTGGAGATCAAGGCTGGAACAGATCACGATCGGCGGCAAGGAGCGGAAGTAGCTATAGTACTATTGGACCATCCCTCTCCTACCATTAGTCATGGACTGAACCGGGCCCGGTTCCGGGTCGGGCCTAGGCCCGGCCGGGCCCGGTTCCGGGTCGGGCCCAGGCCCGACCGGGCCCAAAAAAATTTTGTGAGAACTGGGACCGGCCCGGTAGTTGACTGATGTCGGTCCGGTCGAGTCCGCTTCTATTTTGTTTCTTGATTATTTTATCCCCTACCTCCCCCATCCCACAAACCCATCTGAAACACCCATTCCAGCCCATTTAAACCCAACCCAAAACCCCAAACCAAAAAAAATTGAAAAGGCCCGAACTAGGCCCGGAACCGGCCAAGCCGGTTCTCAATTCCCTAAACCCGTACCCACCCCCGGTTTCCCCTTCAAATCGGGCCTAGACCCGGTACCAGTACCCGGTTCCCGGGCCGGACCGGGCCCAAACAGTACCGGACCTAAGTATCCCTGACCCCCCCTCACCCCACCCCCCACCCCACCCCCCCCCCCCCCCAAACCCCCCAAAACCCCTCCTAAACATCAAGCCCAACCCGGGTGGAACCCAAAAAATGAAAAAAAAAAAAAAAAAAAAAAAAAAAACAATTTGGCCCGACCGGGCCCGGGACCGACCGGGCCAGGCCTCCTTTTCACTGACCCGAGCCCTAAAATAGTGCTATGTTTTATATGCTAGATAAATAGGAATATTTTTTGGTATCTTGAAAACTTAATGTCACATTTTGACTAATGGGTATTAAATGAGACAGTATAGTACTCCGTAGTACACTATCAGTCTATCATGATTTGCATTATCTTAGAAACATGACAATAATTAGACTTATTTAAAGAACAAAAAAACGTATTTTGAAATTTCAAAACTTTTTTCTATTTAAATAATTTAAGAGTTTTAAACTAAATTGAATATTGTCTAAAGAGAAAACTGTCAAATAGGCCCTCGTACTATACTAAAAAAGTCAATTAAGCCCATGTACTGAAAAAACACCCAATCAAGCACCCCAACTTTAAAAAAAAAATCAATTAGCCTCTTTAGTAAGTTTGCAACCGGTCAACCGGTAATTGTATACAAATAGCGCTGAGGTGGATTTTTTCATTTTCTTTTCCTTTTCTTTCCTTTCTCTCTTTGTTTCTCTTTCCTCCTTTCTTCTTCCCAATTGGCCTGGTCTACGTATGCCTGCAAGTAGATCTGCAACTAGTTTATTTTTTTCTTTCTTTCTGTTTCTTCCATTCCAAATTTCCCTTCTTCTTCACCCCAATTCTCAGCTCGCCAGTTCCTTGTTTTTACGCATTCACCCACTGCCGGTCTGCCGCCGCATCCTAACTTCACCAAGTGCAGCCCTTAGGAGCAAGTTGTGGGCCTGTGGCCTGTGATTTCGGACCTCAAATGGTGTAGCAGTCGCCTCACCTAATCCATTAATTTAACGAAGGGGACGCCGGAAGTTTTGGAGCGAACGATATACTACGTATATTTTTTGCCGATTTGTTGCCGCTGGTACTCTGTTAGCCCCGTGGACTGTCCATCTGTCTTTTATTGCTCATACGGTCTTGATTAATTAGGTGGGTGTGCAAGAGGAGGTTTATAGTCACCGTGGCTCCGCCTTGTTGATAGAAGATTATAAATGGAGCAACAAGCGTATGAGGAAACAAGAAGCAAAACAGGAAATAAAAACAGAAAAAAAATTCCACATCTGCGCCACGTGTACACATTTACCGGCTGACCTGTTGTTTACCCACTAAAAGACCGAATTGATTTTTTTTTAAAGTTGGGGTGCTTGATTGGGTGTTTTTTTAGTACGAGGACTTAATTGACTTTTTCAGTATAGTACGGGAGTCTATTTGACAGTTTTCCCTTGTCTAAATAATCAAGAATTACTTGTTTTATTAGCTCAAATGTGGAGTTGAGATTACACAAGGACTCACTCGCACATACTGAAAAAAAAAAAAAAAAAAAAAACTCACTCGCACTCCTGAATTTAAGTAATCAGTTTGAGCATGCAAAATTCTGAATTTGATTTTGCATTTTCTTAATAACTGTCAAATTTGATTTCCTATTGAAACTCATGGACTCAAGTCCTTTGATTTCGTATTGGTAATTAAAATCCATATACGTAGTATTTAATAATTGCAATAAGATTTATACTCCGTATTAACTACAAAATTATAATGAATGTAACACAAAATTATTATACATAATAGAGAATAAAAGAAATTATGTTACACATTATTAGTGATATATGAATCTTTTTTAGACGCATGGAGGTCAATTTATAATAACAGTGCCCATGAGTAGGGGTGGACCGGTTCCGGTTCGGGCCCGGTTCGGGCCTGGGCCCGTCCGGGCCTCGATTCAGAAAAAGGAGGCCCGAGCCCGAACCGGTGGTGGGCGGTTCCGGTTCCGGTTCCGGGCCAGAACCGGGCCGGGTCGGGCCGGGCCACCCGGAATGTTTATTTTTTTTTTCTTCTTCTTCTCTTATTTAACCCCCTACCCCTCCCCCTCCACCCCAAACCACCCCAAATGGCCCAAAATACCTAATCCAACTCAAAACTTAAAAAAATTTCAAAAAAAAAAAAAATTAAATTCCGGCCCGGTCGGGCCCGGCCCGGCCGGTTCACTAAACTGGAGGCCCGGGCCCGGACCGGTATACCACCGGGCCCGGACCGGTATACCACCGGGCCGGGAGGCCCGAACCGGAACCGAACCGGTTCACCGGGCCGGTCCGGGCCCGCACAGTAGCGGGCCGGTCCGGTTCCGGGCCGGTTGGCCCGGCCCGAGTCCATCCCTACCCATGAGTAGGTGTGACCACAGTTCCAGTCCCAAAATCGGAATCTAACTGGAATCGGTGCAACAGTTTCAGGTCAGAACCGTAATCGGGGTTAGAGTGTGGTCCCAAGTGGCCCAAAACAGGGACTGAAACTGACCGATCCAGTCCCATTTGTTTTTTACAGTAGTTCCAGGTCAGAACCGTAATCGGGGTTAGAGTGTGGTCCCAAGTGGCCCAAAACAGGGACTGAAACTGACCGATCCAGTCCCATTTGTTTTTTACAGTGTCCATTGGGAAGCAGCTGAAAAGGGGTGGGGGTCCTCCAATAGACTTTTGACTATTGGAGGGGTGGGGTTGGGAGGGGTCCCCAACTGAAAGCATATATTCAAAAAAAATTGCTTCATCATTTGATTAAAATGATAGAGTCCGAGAAAAGTTTTGAATACTTCATGACTGTTGACACTCCCAAAGCTTGACAAGTTCTCTATACATGCAAGCAACCTTATTTTTTTACTTTTCGTAAACAGCATCACTAAAAAGAGCATTGTTTCCCTTATATTTTGCAGAGTACCCTCATTCCTTAACATGAGACATAGATCAACGACTCACATGAAGACATCCTTAGGTAAATAATAATAACAATAACAATAAACAAATATACTAGAGTGAAAAAGAAGACGGTAAAAAAATACATTACATTGACTTCTGCGGTTCTGCCTGGTCTAAAGTTGAAAGCAACCTTGGCTTTTAAATTCGCCACTCATTTATTAATCTGTAGGGGTCTCAAACCTCGTTGGTGTGTCAATACCCATCATGCAGCAAAGACCAGAAATCAATATTATAAGCAAGACAATCGCCTGTAATATTAAAGAGGAAGCAGTGAGTATGAGTATATGACCCCAGATGGCAGATTCCCCCATATATCCAACTCCCTCTGCTTCAAGTATGTTATGTTTGGTCAACATACAACTTTTAAAATCTGACAAGGTACAATTTCCGAAAATTAGTTCCATTTCAAAAGTCTAAATCTTTGTTTAAAAACTTTTTTTGGCATGAATTTTTTTTGGATGGAGCCCGCAGAGGGGAACGAAAAACCTCCAGTATGTAAAAAGGAAACCAATTACAACCAATAGGTTATACTCCCTCCGTCCTATTGGACTTTGCCAACTTTCCCTTTTTGGTTGTCCCAACAAAATTTGTCACTTTCCTATTAAAACAACTAATTTGTGGTTCTGCACATTTCTCTCTCTTCTTCACAAATCTCAACCACACAGTTTTTACTATTCTTATTCCCCACCTACTTTGCACTTGGCAAAGTCCACCGGGACGGAGGTAGTAAATAGTTTGTAATTGATTTTGCAACCAGCATGTGTACCTCCGTTAGAAATACTATTCTTAAAAAACTGCCTACCTCTGCTAGGGTGACAGCCTGACTACCCTCTACAATTTTCTATTTTTTCATAGATAGATCCCAACTAAGTCTAGCCTCCATATGCACAAAGCCTTGGTCTAGCAACTTGAGGTCACCCTATGCTTTTTAAGACACTAGTTACAAGTCCGTTTGCAGAAGGTTTATAAGAAACATCAATCTGTTAGCGTATTTTTCTAATATTACAGGGTATATGCATTTCATGCTACCCTTGCCCTTGTTTGGTTGGAACATGGTTTAAAAAGGCGCTTGCAGGGCGGGTTTTGAGGCACGCCTCAGGGTGAGGCGTACACAGATAGTATCAGGGCTTAGGTTTTTTCCACAGGGAAAGAAGCTTACGCCTCCAAAGTTAAGGCGTTCGCCTTGAGGCGATTTCTGAGGCGTTACTTTTTTTGTTTCTATCTTTTAATGGTTTGTAACTTAAGAAAGACCCAGTGTACTTTATTTAATAAAAGGCCCATACATTGAACATGTGTCTATAGTCCACACTAAACCCCTAACCAAGTCTTGTTTCATTTAATTATTCATTAGTCGTTAAAATGTTAGCATACTTCTTCTGCACAAGAAGTCTTCATGCTCCTGTACAAAGAAGTGACAACTTACACACTCCATTCTACCAGGGAACTTATCTTCTCCTCATCTGCTCCTCCTCTTCTACATCTCTTCTACATCTCTTCTCCTTCTTCGTCTTCTCTCCACTTCTTGTTCCCTTTCTCTCATCTCCTTCTTGTGCTGAGTTTTGGTCATGTTTTCCTAAAACTGGTCAAGGTTTTACAAGAGGCTGAAAGATAGACTCATAGACAGCATAAATTAGGATCCCTGACCAACGATGAGGAAAATCTTTTGGTTGATCCGTTGATGATTTGCCATCTGACGATGAATGGCTCATGTTCATATCTGTGTTGGTGATTTTAGGCGTACGCCTCGCCTCTCCGGAACAAGCCACCTCGATAACTGAGCTAGCCTTTTTAAACCTTGGCTTGGAGAGGAAAGTAAAGAAGCTATAGACTCCTGAACTCTTGATTTCTTTTCATCTTATTTACAATCAAATTAAAGTTTGTGAAATTGTGAATAATGCAAAAGTCAAATGGTTGCAAACTTGCAACTTATAAGGAACTGATGTAGTAATAAATATAATATCTTAATATTTTTTCTAGAATAAAAATTTCATTGAATAAAACATAATTTATTTTCAAACTGTTCCATTTTCTCCCGCCTCCTCTCTTTGAAACCAAAAATAGGCTTTAAGGTGAAAGACTACTACATACCACAAGTATTGACTCCAAAAATGTTGCTTTGATGTGGCATACTCCATCACAAGTTAAATTTCCTGATCCACTGTCAAAGCTACCTTCAGCGAGAAATCTTTGTAGCCCCCTATCAGAAGGGTATTGGATTGAGGTCAACACATCTGGTACATAAAGAACGCTGTATTTTGCATCCAATTGTTCCATGTAACTTATTAATTCAGTTAAAACTTGCCCTGAATGGTTTATTCAAGATGAAGTTAGTATATATAAAACATTGTTATTTCAACATCTAAAGAATGACTAAAAGAAGTTGAATGTTAGACATGCCCTCAGAAGCTTCTTCCCCCAATCCTTCCATGACGCTGGAACCACTGTGACAGAGAACAATTAGATCTGTGTGCCCTTTGGATCTCTTCTCCATTCTTGAAAGCAGATACTTCTGCTCATACATGTCAATGACATGAAAAAATAGAAAATTATCACGGAGTAGTTGGCCAATCGCAATTTGGTCCCACAAAAAGTAGATAATTTCTAGTTTCAAATCCCAACTTTCAATTTTTCCACTTTTGATTCATGAGTCATGACTAGCTTTCATGCCACCTTTTGTCCTCTTCAGTCACCTACCAGATGATAATCAACTAGAAATTGACCAGATAAGTGGCCAGGAGAACTGGATGGGGCACCTTCATAGTCATGCCCTAAAATTGGAAAAAATGAAACTTGGGACAAAAGTGAGAATAGCCTTATAATCATGGGACCAAACGTAAACATTTTTCTAAAAAGTTACGAGTAAATCATTTCTTGAATAGATAAACTAATTTACGTTGAGTCTTTTTGTTTGTTTAGGTTTTCAAGAGTTCTTTCCATCATTTGCAATGGAGCCAAAGATTCATTATTTTTTGGCTTGAGAATATGATGGAATAAAGCAAAATGGCTCACTAAACTTTATGTGCTTCTTTGTTATGAAGCAACAGTTAGTCCATGCAATTTTGGACGCGATTTTCACTATGGGTCATCCGGAAACAGTCTCCATGTGCTTTAGTACAGGGGTAAGACTGCGTCCATGTGCCTTTGCGGCATTGGGGTAAATGAAAATGAAAATGAGGTTTTCAAGAGTTTTGCTTATCTCTTGTAGATAGGAGAGGATAAGAGAGATAGAGAGAGAGGCTCTCAACTTTATTATTTGTCATTCATTTCTTATCCAATCAAACAGAAGGAACAGGATATAAATACTAAGACAGGTAGCAGTGACTCAGCCCTAATAGTTCGGATAATTACAATACTACCCCTCCTTGCTAAATAAAGTAAACAAACAAGGAAAACTAAAACTCAGGAATCTTCACTCCCCTTCAAGTTGGATATGGATATCAATCATATCCAGCTTGCTCTTCATATTTTCGAATTTGTTCTTTGGAAGGGCCTTGGTGAGAATGTCGGCAACCTGAAAATCTGTTGGAATATGTGATAGCTCCAGGATTCCAGATTCTAACTTTTCTCTTATAAAGTGTCAATCAATCTCCACATGTTTAGTGCGATCATGATGAACTGGGTTTCTCTCAATTTCAATTGACGCTTTATTGTCAATTGAATAATGTCATCTTTCTGTTATTCTGAATGTTTAGTTCTTTCAGCATTCTTCCTAACCTATCCCTTCACATATTCCTTGACACATTGCACGGAATTCAGCCTCAGCACTACTTCTAGCCATCACAGATTGCTTCTTACTACGCCAAGTAACCAGATTACCCCGCACAAATGTGCAATAACCTGTGGTGGACCTTCCATCTACACAAGATCCTCCCCAATCCGCCTCTGGGTAAATGGTTACTCCTCTTTCACTGGATTTTTTGAAGTAGAGCCTATATCCTGGGTTATTTTTTAAGTAGTGAAGAATCTGAAATACTGCTTTCATATGGCGAACTGTGGGAGTCTTCATGAACCTGCTCACCATACCAACAGCAAACCCGATATCGGGTCTTGTATGTGCAAGGAAGATTAACTTGCCCACAAGTCTTTGATATTTTTCCTTGTCTACTAGCACATCTTTGGTTTCTGTTCGAAATTTAATTCCTGGTTCCATTGGCACACTTGCTGGTTTGCAACCCAATAACCCAGTCTCTTTCAAGAGATCAAGAGTATATTTTCTTTGTGATACAGAAATGCCCTTTCTAGACCTTGCAATTTCCATACCAAGAAAATATTTAAGTTGACCGAGATCTTTTATTTCAAATTGTCTTCCCAAGACTGATATGCTCTAAGTAGTCTCCCGTTATAATGATATCGTCCGCATAGACAATCATAATTGCAACTCATTCATCACGGGAGTGTTTTGCAAACATCGTGTGATCGGTTTGCCCTTGAATGAATCCGTATCGCTTGACCACTTGCGTCAGCTTTTCAAACCATGCTCGTGGTGACTACTTCAAACCGTATAGGGATTTTCTAAGCCTGCACACCATTCCTTTGTTTTCTTCAGACTTCAGTCCCGGTGGAACATCCATGTAAACTTCTTCCTCTAGTTCCCCATTTAAGAATGTGTTCTTCATATCGAGTTGATGCAACGGCCAGTCAAGGTTTACAGCAAAGGAGAGTAATACCCCAATGGAATTTAGTTTTGCTACAAGTGCAAAAGTTTCTGAGTAGCCGATCCCGTAGGGCTGTGTAAATCCTTTAGCGATCAGCCTTGCTTTAAACCAACTTACACTTCCATCAGAGTTGTATTTGACAGCAAACACCCATTTACACCTCACAGTTTTCTTTCCTGGTGGAAGGTTAGTGTATTCCCAAGTTTTGCTTTTCTGAAGAGCATTGACTTCTTGCACAGCATTTGCCCATTCCCTTTTTGTGATCGCTTCTTGAAGGTTTTTAGGAACTTTAATTTCTGAAACTGAAAAAGCAAATGCTTGGGTGAGAGTTTGTCATATGAAACAAAGTTACTGAGTGGATGCATAGTACAACTTCTCTTCCCTTTACGTAATGCAACGGGAATATTTAAATCGTCTGAATCATCAGGGGAAACATAAGAACTGGAATCTTTGGGTTGAGTACTACCTGCTGAATCCTGTAATATTTCCACCTCATTTTGCTGTCTCGGGCACCGGGTGTAGACAATGTCATCTTTTTGGACATCTTTATTTAAGGATCCATCGACTGATGGGTTTGGAACAAATTCAGGACCACTCGGATTTGTACTGTTAGTTTCAACTCCAACTGGTATCCCTAATGGATTAGGAATATCCGCATGGTGACTCGGATCAGAAGGGAATAAGGTAGGATAGTCCAAAATTGATATTCCACATGTTCTCCCCTTGGATTTCAGTTTTGGAATAATAAGGTTTATCTCCAAAGAATGTGACATTCATGGAATGGTAGAATTTCCTGGTGGAAGGAGAGTAGCACTTATAACCACGCTGGTTCGGGGAATATCCCAGAAAGACACATTTGAATGACCTAGGATCTAGTTTGCTACGATTTGGCTGATGATTATGAATGAATGAGGTGCAACCAAATATTTTCAGTTGTAATTGTGACAAAATTAGAATGTGAGGGAAGCTAGACTATAGAAATTGGTGTGGAGTTTTGAAGTCAATGACTCGGGAAGGCATCATATTGATAAGGTATGCGGAACAAAACTAGATAATAGTAACGAGCGTGTTACCTCTAGCAGATGTCTGTTTTTCCTTTCCGCAACACCGTTTTGTTACGGGGTGACAACACGGGATGTAAGATGGACAATTCCCTGTTGAGTAAGGTAGTTGCCCAACTCAGAGTGAAAGTATTCCTTTGCATTATCAGGTTTGAGAACTTGAATTTTTGTTGCAAATTGGTTTTGAATCATCTGATGAAAACGCTGGAAACTTAACCTAACTTCAGATTTGTCCTTCATCAGATAGACCCAAGTAACACAAGTATGGTCATCTATAAAAGTAACAAACCACCTCGCACCAGAGATATTTTTCAGTCTGGATGGGCCCCAAACATCACTATGAATTAAATAGAATGGATGAGAGGATTTATACGGGAGTGGAGTATAAGAATGACTAACATGCTTGGATAATTGACACACTTCACAATTGTAATCATTCGGGCTTTTATTCAATAAATGAGGAAACAACTTTTTAAGTAATGAAAGTTTGGATTACCCAACCTATGATGCCATAAAATCACATTATTTTTACTAGAAACATGAAATAATGATGAAACTTGACATTTTCCCGAATGCTCGGCTTCCATGTGGTAGAGGTAGAGCTCATCACATACTTTAGCACCGCCAATCATCTTCCCCGAACTCAAGGCCTGAAACATGCATGTAGATGGGGTTAAGATAGTAATGCAATTTAGATCCCTCATTAGTTTAATAGGAGCTAACAAGTTGAAATCCAGATTGGGAACATATAACACAGATTTCAGTGTTATATTCTTGGATATGACAATTGTACCAATGCCCGCCACTTGTGCGCCTTCTCCGGTAGCAACTCGTATGGTTCTTCCATTCGGTACAGGTTGTTATTCAGAAAGTATATTCCTATCCCCGGAGTGATCAGTAGCACCACAATCAACAACCCAAGGTTTTTCACCAAATGCACTTGTTACAAATGCAGATGAAACTCCACTTTGTTGGGCAATAACTGCAATCCCTTTGTCTTCATGTGGTGTGATTTGCAACATCTTCCAAAGAGCTTGTATCTGTTCCTTGTTAAAAACCTCCTGAATGTCACTAGTTGCTACATTTACACGAGCATTAGGCTTCCACTCAGATAGTTTTCCATGAATTTTCCAGCAAGTTTCTTTGGTGTGACCAGGTCGTTTGCATGATCACACCAGGGTCGACCATTTTTTCTTTGAGATATTCCAGGGGCCGCTGAAAATTTCATACTAGATGGAGCACAAGTTGCAAGAGCTGATCCCTCATTCGTAATATTGCCAGTATTTCCAAGCATAACCATTCTTCGACTTTCTTCACGGCGAACTTCTGAAAAAGACTTCTCTGAAGCTAGGCATAGGTTTAGTACCGAGAATTCTCCCTCGAACCTCGTCAAGTTCTTGGTTGAGTCCAAGAAGAAATTTATAAATCCTTTCCGTTTCCACCAACCGCTTATACTGCTTCCCATCTAGTGGGCAGTTCCAAGTAATAGCATCCAGGACATCAAGTTGCTGTCAGTAACGGTTCAGTGCCGTAAAATAACTCGTCGCAGTCAACTCTCCTTGACGGAGATCATGAAGAATCCCTTTGATTTCAAATACTGATGAAGTGTTGTCTTGATTTGAGAACATATTTCGAGCTGCTTCCCAAATTTCTGATGCTGTCTTGTAAAACATAAATTGTTCACCTATTTCAGGAGCCATAGAATTCAAGAGCCATGACATAACCATATTGTTCTTTGCCTTCCAATTTTTGTAACCTGGGCTTTTATCTTCCGGTTGGACCAGATCAATGGACAGGTATTCTTCTTTACCTTTCCCTCCAATGAAGATTGAAACAGAGTGAGACCAAAGGTTGTAGTTCTGGCCATTCAGCTTATATGCAGTCGGCAAAGAGCTGTAATCGATATTAATGCTTGGTTGGATTTGAGATGAGTTTTCGAGTGATGTGCTGGAACTAACATCATCACTGACTAGGGCAATAGGTACATTACCGAATTCGATTGAAGTATTCATGATGAGAGAGTAGTGGAAGAACCCAGTAAGAGCGGGGGGGAAAGAGAGAGAAAATTCGTTTGGAATGAACCCACCAGGGAAAGCACTAATTCAGAAGAGATCTGACCAGCCTGTTGAAGAATGATACTCGATTAGAGCAGCATCGAGTGCTGCTCCAATACCATCAAGAGTTCTGCTTATCTCTTGTAGATAGGAGAGGATAAGAGAGATAGAGAGAGGCTCTCAACTTTAATATTTGTCATTCATTTCTTATCCAATCAAACAGAAGGAACGGGATATAAATACTAAGACAGGTAGCAGTGACTCAGCCCCAATAGTTCTGATAATTACAATACTAACCCTCCTTGCTAAATAAAGTAAACAAATAAGGAAAACTAAAACTCAGGAATCTTCAGGTTTATATAAAGAGTAGTTCATCATTATACAACATAGTATCTGCTAGACTGCTACTGTTATAACCTGAACTGAGATGATGTCTGGAAGCTTATTGAAATTGTCACCATCTACAGAGCAAGACTCCGAAAAAGCTAGTCTATGGGTTTCAAGATCATTCCCACAGGTTTCACTGAACACTGAAACAAATGAGCTTTCCACTGAATGGCCCTCCTCTTCTGAAATCGCAATATAAGGAAAGGCCAAAGAGAAGTTGGAGGTGAAAAAAGATGCCTGTTCACAATAATAAACAAACAAAAGTTGACCACTTCGCCTTAGCTTTTCTGGCAAGACAAATTTCACTCCTATAGTTATTTAAGACCAAGTTTACCTTTAGCAAACTAATAAGAGAAGAATCTGCTTTTCCAGGTCTAGAAAGATCACGGGATTGTAACTGTACAGATAAGAATCTAGTCAGCTTAGTCGACAGAATGGATACACTCAATTTATCTAAATAAAGTCATGCTTTAAAGTTCAAAAAGGCTATTTTAGTCCCAAAAAGAGTCCCATTTCATCAAACGGAGCTAAATTTTCATGTATTTCGCCAAAAAGAGTTACAATCATGTTTAATACGGAGTACCGAGTATGATAAGTTCAGTTAAAGCAAAAAGTAACATTTAAAATGAAAGGACTCCATTGCTTTTAGACGTAGCACATAGGTGACCTAGCCAAAATAAAAAACTTTTACATTAATCATATGGGACTCTCTTTTTTTAACAGCGGGACTGCAGGAGTAACAAATATTTTCTCTGTCAAGTATATCAAGTTGTTTTGTTCAAGAAGTTGCTATATGACTGTTTCATAAATTTATTCAAGAACTCATACAAATGTAAATATGATGAACTAAAACTACTGGAATAAACTTTAAGTTACAGTTCTTCCTAGACCGAACATAGTATGCAAATAGAGTAGGAAATGGTATTTGATAGGATGGCTCCAGATGTACCTCTTTTCCCACAAAAACAAGTCCGATATCCAGAGGTTGCTGAGCACCCTTACTTGAGCACTAATGAAGGGCAGAAAGTTTAGTTTATTTACTTTTTCTTCCCCTTGAGTTAAGAACATTAACATAAAAATTAACTGAACTATAGCAATACAAGGGATAGAATGATAGATAGTACCAGTAACTTTGACCAACAGCCTTCAGACATAACAGACTTCACCAAGTCTTTAGGACTGAGGGTTCGGTAATCTACAGTTTGACTTGTTGAAAACCTGTAAGATTGACAGAAATACAGTATATACAACATTAGGATATTAATTTAATATAAATACAACTAGAAGGACGAAAGAACTATATTAAGATATCAATTCATATATACTACACGGCTCCTCATAAGGTTTACGTTCTTTAACAGACCAAAAGAGCAAGAAGTCATAAAGAGGAGGGGTCAAAATGTAGAATCACTAGAATTATGATGCACTTTAATTCTTGCAAGCAGAATGTCATTCTTTAAATGGGGAAGTGGGTTAGAGGTCCAAGTGATTAGCTTCTTATTTGATGTATCTTGCAAAGCATATTGCTCATTTGCTACAAAATAATCAGTTATCAGCTATTTCCAAATATTAGCAATGATTATCTCTGGGACAAGATGTACTAGAAGGGAAAGTATTACTCAGTCCACCCCAAATGAATAGTCGGGTTTAAAAATTTTCTTGTCCCAAAAAGGAGACATGTATCAAACATTTATTGTCACATAAAAGAGTCATATTTCATCAAACAAAGTTTAACACAATAATGTAGTTTAAGAAAACAAATATATTTTCAAGATATAAGCTTGAATTGATAAGGTTGTGCCTTGCCAAAGTTAATAGACATGTCCTTGAAAAAAATGACTCCTTGGGGCAGCGGCGGACGCAGGATTTCCGGATAACAGGGGCGGCAGTACAAGAATATACATACAAATACATATATATTAAAATTTTCGGGGTAAATATACCTAGAATTTTTTTCCCTCGGAGGGGCGGCAGCCCCCCATAGCCCCCATGTGTGTCCGCCACTGCCTTGGGGGGTAGGGAGTTTTATATATTATTGAAATGCAAAATAACCGAGTAGCCCCAAGTTAACATCGACTTTTCTCATCACCGGCTACTATTCTAATGTATGAAAGACACCTTTGAGATTTAACTGCAGAACTTTACAGGGCAAACTAAATTTGTCTTAAACTTTTTGTGTGAACTTTTTCCTTTTTCCTGTTTAGCCAACCAGCTAATGCTTTAGCTGTTATAATTACTATCCAGCTCAGTCCGACTCAAAATTCAACACTGGTATCATCACTCTCCAGTCTCCACACTAGTCTAACTCAAATTTCTGGATCCAACCCTCTTGAATGGAACTGGATGAACCCTAAAAATGGAAGGAAGGAAATAATATGTACCCATCTTGGTGGGGTGACCAAAGGATAGAAGGACCCATGGATGGTAGAGTAAGCCCTGGAAGAAACTGAATCGTGACCACCATCACAGTAACCAAAAACACTGTAAGTGCTCTCATTCTTGTTACCTAACATAGCAAAGTACGAGGATGAGGCTATAAACATTAGAAGTATAACAACGGATAATAATTCCACAGCAGAACACGTAACAAAAATCTACAATCGTGAACTACAGAAACATCAATGGCATAAATCGCTGTGGATTTGAGACCATAAATTACATTCAGAAGATCGAATAATGGGGATCCGATTAAATAATATGATGCAGCAAGCACACAATCTTTTCTTACCCTTAGTCTAGCTTGATTCAAGGTGGATCTGGATTGAGATTACTTACCCGCTAAGTCGATGTTCCTAGACAAATTTCTAGCAGTATGCCTTAGGGAGTGTTTGCGATTGCTTGTGCTTTTTAAAAGTGATTTTTTTAAGAGATTATTGGAAAAGTGATTTGTAGTAAAAGTTGGTAGTGTTTGGGAATAGAAGTAACTTTAATTTAAAGGTAAAAGTTGGAGTGTTTGGGAAAAAAGTGATTTTTGATGTAATATTTGGTTAATGACAAAACTGCCTTTGCTATCTCCATTTACTACACAAGAGCCATTCGGCCATGAGGAGGCATGGTCTGACAGTCCGCAGGGAATCAAGGGAGGGGAGGGTAGTTTTGGTTTAGTAAAATATTTGATCTAATAACAATACCCAATGTTGGGAGTATTTACATAAATACCAATAAGCTGATAAAAGCACCCCCAAGCATGCTTTGAACTTTTGACTTATAAGTGCTTTAATTTAATCTAAAAGTTGGGTATACAAACACCATTTTTGGCTTTTCATTACAAAAAAAGTCAAAAGCACTTTTGTTTAGAGCTTGCAAACACTCCCTTAGACCTGGGTCAACTGTTTTCGGTGAAACGGGAACAAAAACAACAGGTTTTTGGACCGGAACAGCAACCGCATGGTAGGTTCGATTTTGAACAAAAGGTTTAACTTTGTTTGCAACAGCCTCTGCTTTAAAATAAGTGTTTTTTTAATGAAATTAAAAGAAGTGATTAAATAAAAATTAATAGTGTTTGAGAAAAAGGTAATTTTAAAAAGCAAAAATTTGTAGTGTTTGGTAAAATAAGTGTTTTTTGTGTAATAGAAAATGTAAACGCACTTTTGACATGAAAGCCGAAAAAAATAAAAGTTGTAGTGTTTGGTAAAAGAAGTGCTTTTTTAAAACCAAAGCCGAGAACTACTTTTTTAAAGCATTTGCACATTATCAACTTAAATCATTCTTAATCTTTTACTTTATTTATCAACTTTTTAACAAAATTTACATTTTCTTAATCAGGCTTTGTGGCGATTTTGATGTAGTTTCTGAATATGTAAATTTTATATACTAAAAATAATCATCGTGTGCACAGGGATTAAGTTGTTTTATCGTCAGTGAAAGTCGTATGGGAGTATGGGACGGGGGAGAAATTAATTAATTGATGATGATGATGATGATGATGATGATGGTGATGATGGTGGTGGTGGTGATGAGTGATGAGTGATGATGATGACGATGATGATGACGACGACGACGGCGACGATGATGATGATGATGATGATGATGATGATGATGATGATGGTGATAGACTATTAGTTGTACTAACAATAGAAATAGAAATTACGGAGTATAGAATTACCAGCTACTACTCATCATTTATTACTCTACTACTTAAAATATATTTTATTAAATTTATTAGTAATAGGTATCCATGATTTATTAATAACTAAATTATTTTAGAATAATTGATTGTATGATTTTACAATATAATCTATAACTACATAGCTATTAAGTATTAGTTGGAACAATCAAGATCAATGTTGATAGAGCTACTGATGACCGTCACGGAATATGAGCCTGAGGATGAATTGCAAGAGACCATAATGGTGAGTTTATTCAAGGTGGATGGGAATCTCACATAGCGGACTGGTCGGCAAGCATTACGGATGCACTTGGTGTTTGAGAGGCACACACATGGGCGAAGAATCAATGATGGAATCAGATCGTGATAGAGACATGTGCTCAACTGATCACGACAAGGTTGGAGGAAAGATCGGGATTTTCTTATCTAGATACTATAATTGATGATAGTAGTCACATTCTTCAGAATGAAGCTATGTTTGTTGTCTAATTGTGTATAGGATCCGCGAATCACATGGGCCATAAGCTTGCAAGGGCCGCTTCATTCAATGCTGGTAGTGATTCATTTGATATTATTTTGTCTTGTATCTCGAGCCGGTTGGCGAATGATTGTTTGAATTAATATATGAGGTTTTTCCTTCAAAAAAAACTATTAAGTATTAACTATCTTACTTTTGAACTTAATTTTAACAATGAGAGATATTTGTCTTTGTATTTTTTGGGGAACTCTTTTATTAATTTACCTGAAAAATGCTAAACTTTAATATCTAAAACGGTACTTATCTTCACCCCATGTGCTCTCCAAACCCAAGGTGGGAGAAACTCTGTACAATTGTACCTATATCTTGGTGTTAGCCCTGCGGCCATCAGCTCTATGTTGATCCGGGAGGAAGACGACATTCAACATGTCATCTTCTATGTTAGCAAGACTGTGAGGGGGGCGGAACTAAGGTATTCTCCCGTAGAAAAGACGGTGCTAGCAATCGTTTGGACCGTCAAGAAATTGGGCCATTATTTCCAAGCACATCCGGTCCAAGTGCTCACGCACCAACCTCTCGGTGCCCTCATGAGGAGCCCCACCAGTACCTTCAGAATGGTGAAATGGGCCATCTTCCTTAGCCAATACAACATAGACATTCGTCTGAGGCCTGCCATCAAGGGCCAAGCCCCTGGCAGACTTCGTGACGGAGTGCACGGCAAGATCAGCGGTGGACGAGGAGCCCCCGGCGCCCTTTGATGAGTGGTGGACTCTATACACAGATGGTTCCTCAGCCACCAAAGCATGTAGATGAGGCGTAGTCCTCATTACGCCCGAAGGCTTCCGAGCCTATTAGGCCATCCGCTTCTCCTTCAAAGTCTCCAACAACGAAGCAGAATATGAAGCCCTTCTCTGTGGCCTTCGGCTGGCAGCAAACATGAAGGCCAAGCAAATCCATGTTAAATACGACTCCAAACTTGTCGTCGGCCAAATCTCCGGTGAGTATGAGGCAAAGGAAGGTAGGATGAAGCAATACAAAGAAGCGGCCAAGGAGTTGCTTAAGGTATTTGAGGCACACTCCATCACTCAAATACCGAGGGCTCAGAATTCTGAGGCCGGCATTCTCTCAAAGCTCTCGGCGGAGTCCCCTGAACACCTCTCAAAGATCGAAAGAATCGAGGAACTCAACCTATCTAGCATTCATGCAAGCCCCATCATGGATATACACCTAAGGCCAGAGGACTGGATCTCAGACATCATCAACTTCATCACCACGGGGCAACTGCCCGAGGACGAGGCCCGCGCAAAATTAGCAAAGCTGAGGGCTCCCAGCTACACCCTCGAGAACGGGAGGCTCTACAAACGATCTTACAATGGCACCTTACTTCGATGTCTTCATCAAGATGAGGTCGAGGTTGCGATGGAAGAAGTGCACAGTGGCACTTGCTTAGCTCACCAGGGGCCCTTCTCCATGTCCCGAAGGCTCATTGTCCAAGGCTATTTATGGCCTACGATGGCCCGGGATTGTGCGAACCTCGCCCGAAGGTGCACCGCATGCCAACATTTCCAACGGAAATATGTATTAAAACTTTTAAAATATTGTGTTTTATCTTCATTATTTCTAGAACTTTGAGTACTTGCACTTTTAATTTCAAAATTGTAGTTGTTTGACTTATTTCTCGTTTTAAATTAATGGCGTATTGATTATATTTATATTTCGAGGTGCACTAGTGTATATGATAAAATATGAACTTATTTCTAAGTATTTTGAAAATGTAAAATGCTTCAATTCCATGAATGAGTAGACGTCAGAGGATAATATTTTTTTCAAAAAAATGTACTTTTAATAATATTTATAAATAGATTAAATACACCTTATAACTTTTAATATTTATAAATGCACCGCCAAATAACTTTTAATATTTATAAATATGGCCCCATATCTGTATCCTACCTTTTTTGATTTTGTCGTATTTCCGTACCTGTTTCCGCGTTTCTGCGTGCCCGTATTGGTGCTACATAGAAACCGAAAACCAAATCGGAAAAACCTGAGCCACAATCAAAACAACCGAACTGCAAGAAAACCGAAACCGAACAAAAAAAAACCGAACCAAACCGTAGTTGTTTGGTTTCGGTTTTGGTTTTCACATCTCAAAACCGAACCGAACCGAATAAACCGAACTTTTTAAAAGTTGTTATTTTACTTACTAATCAATAAGTATAATATTTCGTTTAGTTATTAATTCTTAACTCTAAAAAATAATGTTTGATACTAGATTGATTATGATTTGCAAGATATTAACATTTAATATATGTGGCTCAATTAAGTGAAACACTTGCACATACACGTAAGTCTGTTGCTATAATGCTAATATGTTGATATTTTAAATCGTAATTTACATTTTGTTTGTTGCATGACAATGATACTTTGTTGATATATTATATGTTATGTATGTTTGTTATCACATAATTTATTATATTGAACAAATATGTATTAATATAAACTATACTTTAAACATAATGTATAGTTTATAGGGAAAACTGTCAAATAGGTCCTCGAACTTTCATAAAAAAGTCAATTAAGTCCTTCTATAGGAGACTCAGTCCGGTCGTCGCGATTTGGGGCGGTTTCCGGTGGAATTTTTTGATGAACTTTTTTGAACATCTTATTCATCAAGTCTAGTTTACTCATATCAAACTTCAGCTAAAAATTTAATCGGGAGCGCATTCAAATTAATTCGAGAACGCAAAAATGCGCAGTTATTTTCAAGAATTAATTTGAATGTGTTCCCGATTGAAGTTTTAGCTGAAATTTGGTATGAGTAAACTAGACTTGATGAATAAGATGCTCAAAAAATTTCATCAAAAAATTCCACCGCGAACTGCCCGAAATCGCGATGGCCGGACAGAACCTTCTATAGAAGGACTTAATTGACCTTTTATGAAAGTTCGAGGACCTATTTAACAGTTTTCCCTAGTTTATACAGAATATGTGAAACTTTAGAGCATAATATATTTCTCTAAAAAGAATGTAGATTAAGTTATTTACTAATAAAATGTTAACTTGCGAATACACCGTATATAATTCACAAATAAACTCATGTGTTTAATTAATTTAGAAAATTTTAAATTGGTATACATGTGCTCTATAATTTTCCATCATTTTCAATGGAGCCAAAGACTCACTATTTTTTGGCTTGGGAATATTATATAATAAAGCAAAATC